CCTGTTTCTGACTGAAGCCTTTATCCTGGACCAAATGAATGACTGGCATGTCTTTTAATTCGTGGCATTATTGAACGATTGTTTAAACTGATTAGACACGCATAAGAAACCACATGACCAATTATATTCTGAGAGCTAATCAAGTCAGAAAATGTTTGACAAAATGCTCAAAACACAAGAAAAGCAAATTTTTAACAGTAAATAAAGCAAACAAAGGAAAACCAGAGATTTAGGTTCAGGGATAATAAAATAAAACTGTCCCTAAGGCGAGACGGACGGCTTTTATGACATATAAGGGGAAACAGAGGTAGCTGCATGAATTTAAAAGAGATTTAAAGTGGAAGACGTGAACACAGCCGCCATTACTTTGATCGTTTTTTGGCAGGGAATGTGAAGCACTGGGAGAGCTTGAGCTGAAGAAGAGCATTTACAGCGACTGTAGCCAACATCAGATGGACTCCAGGGAAGATCTGTCAGGTTTTAAAGGAAATTAAACCGCCAGCTGGATTTCCACTCACGGTATAATTGCACATAAGATGTGTTTAATGGAAACGCTGCAATTTCAAGGACGGGGAAAAAAAAAACAACTCATGTTTTTGCGAGAAAGTTTGGGCCCTTGGAGGATTTTCATCTGTATTTAAATGAGAGTATTGAGCAAAACTGCAAATCAGCTGAATGTTTTTGACGCTTCCAGTTGGATTTTAGTGCGTTTCACACCAAACGTGTTGAGAGCATCAGGAGCGTCTGGTTCACGTTCAAAGTCTATGTGGAACATTTGGGCTCAAAGGTCCCAACGGTTCAAATCGCTGCGCAGTGACCCCATCTATTGAGTCTTTTTTTAAAAAGATTTTTCTGGCTAATACAAGAGGCAAAGGTCGCCAGGCCGGGAATGGAACCTGCGACAGCCTCGTCGAGGCCTCCATATGTGGGTTGTGCTAAACCCCTGCTCCATGACAGCACATCCCAAGAGTGAGGTCGTTTTCATTCAGTGCAAATACTGTGAGAAAACAACTGACGAACCAAAATTATTATTTAGCATTCTTTGGTATTTTGGTGCCATAATTTAACCCAATACCCAAATCCTACAGGCTAATAGTGGACTTACATGCCTGTTAATCAATAAACCAGAGCAAAACAGATATGTGGCCTCATTCATCAAAGTATTTAACCGTCCATTCATTTGTTTGCCTCTTTGATTTGAATATGTATCTTACATATATTTTAAATCTACCTACCCTGGCAGCACAGATGGAAATTAGCCACTAAATTTGGTACAATGCATCTCTTCTTGGTTCCCTGGCAGAAAAAAAAAAGAACAAAGATACTTTAAAACCGGCTCGTTTGTACGACCAACTATAGAAACGTGTGATAAGTTCAGCCGCTGTGTGTCCTGGTCAGAGGTGAGTGCTGCCGTCTTTAGAAACGTCTCTGCTGACTTTGGAAAGTGTTGCATTTTGAAAGTGGGCTGCGGTCGCGCTCCCTCAAGTAGAATGCACGACTTTGCTCTGGTTCACCAACATCTGAGTCCGAACTGAGCAAACCAGACAGTCTGAACTCTCTGCCTCCATTCATTCAGAGCAGACATGTTCCCAAAGACATGACCACATGACTAAATTTAGAGGAGGCTTTGGGTCATACAAACATATGCACTGATGCAATAGTTGCACGTTGATTGTGATGTTAAGGGGATAAAAAACTTACTTTGTAATTTTGACAGTTTAATTTCTTGACTATGGATAGTCAGGAGGACTATCTATAGTCATCATTTTGGACGATGCTGAAATGAGATCATCGTTTCAACACAAACATTGCCTTTTTAACTGCAGATGCCAACTTCTCCACTCACATTTAGACTGAGGGATTATTGGATTTAAAAAATTATGCGGAATAATACAGTTTTTTTTTTTTTGCCTTCTAATGTGTTAAAACCAACAAAACCCCGACTGCAGTTGAGCCCACAGCAACGTACGTTGGTTTATTCAAATCGTGACATTTTTCTTTCAAAGGGCATCTATCAGCACGCAGATATGCAGCCTCATGACACGCGTTGTCTTTAAAGTGCCCCCCTGCAGTGCATGGCGGGCGCTTTAGTCGAGGTAAAACCCATGAAAATTATAAGGTGCCATACTCGACTCATATTTATGTAAATCTGACAGGTTGGCTCATGCGACACGCGAAGCCAAACGTGGCAAAACCTCACAGCGGGTGCAGAGCGCCAGACTTGCATAATATTGTTGCTCCACTTCAACGTTTTAATACTGTCTCCTTTCCTTAATCGAATTAGTAGGAGACGTATTAAGACGTTTGCAGCAGGAGTCGCTAAAGTTGACACACTGACCTGTTAGAAGAAGACGGGGCCACTGGACGTCTTTACAGCAACTTTTAAACATGCTTGTGTGACTCAGTAGGTACGAAACAGAAGTAATTGAACTGCTGTCTGGACTCAAGTTTAAAAGTCTTTGCAAAGTTCCAGACGTTTCCAAACCAAGGCTGGAATACCATCAATTACAAAGATATGAAGAGGTTTATCAAGAAAAGTCGATTGTTCATAAGAACAAGTAAATCAAAACAGCCTTTATGAAAGTGGCCAACACCTCTACGTTCAGCCTCGATGGTGATAAAGTGGCTTAGCTCTGGTCGTGTCCTCCTTCTGAGTTCAGCACCAGCGCCGAGTGCCGGTCAGACCTCACCGGACCAGCGCAGGATATGATTAACCCCAATTCCACTCCAGTTTACAGAATGCAGATCAGCCCCGACAGGTCGTTACAGCATCCTTGTAAAACAACAGTCAGAGCAAACAGACGTTTATAAAATAGAGGCCAACAAAGGTTTTCATAGCAGTTGTTTAAACATCAAATCTCAATTATTTTATTGAGATTACGTGTGAAGAACTAACACAAAGCAACGGATGATTGTGAAGTAGGAGGAAATTTATACAAGATCTCCTCGTTTTTCACAAGTAGAGATCTGAAAGTTTGAATTTAGCTCTTCTGAGTCTTAGTCAAATCCTTTGCACATGTCTACCAGCTTTGCAAAGCTAGAGACTGAGATGTTTGCCCATTTTTCTTCATAAAGCTGCCAAAGCTTAAGGAGGCCATCTTTGACCATCAGAGTAAGAGTCTTGATTGACTCTCAGTTGGATTATGACTGAGACATGTTAGCATATGAAAATATGCTTTGATCCAAGCTGTCCTGTCAGGTGAATATTTGACCAAATCTAAAAATCTTCAGGTTCTCCTGACAGAACATTGGACTCATGAGTAAATAAAGGCAAGACATAATCTACCGACACGAAGCAGTTGAGTTTTAACAGCACACAATCAGAAATTACCTCTAACTTTTAATATATAAATATATATTTTACCTGTTTAAAAGAATGCATTTTGAAAAACAGTCAAGGTAGTATCCATACACAGAACTGAATTAGATTAAAGTAAACTAAATAAAAACTTACTATGTGTATTGTATTGGTGTTTCTAAATAATTATGGCATCCTACTAGTGGTTTTACCATTTATCAAAAAGGTTATGATTATCAGACGATTGTAAAAATCAGATAACTTCTTCTCCACTGAACACAAAGATCAGTTCTAAACTCTTCTGCAGTCGATGTTCTACGCTGAACCAAAACAAATAAGTAATCGTGTCATCTGCATAATGGTTGACTTTTGTTTCTGTTGCACACAAATAGACAACAAAGGAGCCAACACCAAAAATTCAAAGATGTTTCAGTTTCTAGGCAAGAAGTTTGACATCTTAAAATATTAAACCTCAACCCAAGTCAGGTTTTAAGCTGCATGATACAACAAGTGTTGCTTCCATGTGTGTGGGGCAGGCTTTCATAAACATGGGCAAATAACGCAGTCTACAGATAGTTTTTTATTTATTTATTGAAAGTTTTTATCTCTACTGGTGTTGATGGCTTATTTTATGCATTCATGTTGAACATAAAGTTTATTTTGCACACACGCTGTCCATGCAATCATCCAAGGTTGGGTTATTTTACAAAGTACAATCCCCGTCTCTGAAGCTTCACGTGATGCACCTGACAAAGAAATGAAAAGAAATTGCTACAAAATCACACCACACTTTTCAGAACCCCGTGTTATTTTTCCTGCACCGCTTTGATTTGGTTTGCCACTTAAAATGCCCAAAATACAGGTAAAACACTGGAGGTTTTGATGGGAATGTGAAAAATATTCTATTGTCAAAGTGAGTTTATGAATGTTGCTCATAAAGAGCAACAGAATTTGGCCAAAGCAGAACAATTAAACAGAATTAAGACTAAAATGAAAGAGGCAATTAACAAAAAAAGTAGATAAAATACCAAATCTATTTGGGTCTCATGTTCTGCTCCGTAATCTTTGTTTTCAGAACAAAAGTTCAGAAAACTTCTGAAAGGCACTGCAGGTTAAAGTGAGGCGCACTTATCAGAGTTGGTAAAACGTCTAGAAACGTCTCGCAAGTCCTAAGCCTCAGAATCAGATCAGGTCAGTCAATAATCGTTTCCAATCAAAACATTTAAATGTTTATCCAAAGATGAGACTTATGGAGCATCATTTATTTATTTATTTTTTAAGGATTCCTATTGAATTTTGTTGAAATTCCCAAGTTTTGATCCTGTTTTTCTCTGCCTGGTTGCTCCACAGTTGAACCCGCAGCCCAGCGCCTCGCATGTGTGAGCGCCGGCTCACATGGACGAGGAACGCGAGGGGTAGATTGTCTCCTCAGCAGGCGTGCGGGGGGTTTAGAGGAGTAAGCCGGATAAAAACCTTTCCAGGTTGATCTCTGACATTGTTTTCCAAGCGGCCAGCACTTCTTCTCCATGCAGGACGTCAGGGAGGGGCCTGGCCGGGCGAAGTCATGCAAACAAGGGCAGGGAGTGGGGGCGGACGGGGGCTGGAGGAGTAGAAGAAGATGCTGGGTTGCTCGAGAAATTTGGCTGACCTCTACCAGCGACCATGTGACTGGTAAGCAGAGGATGTGGGGATTAGGGCCGGAGGTATAAAAGCACAAAGCGGGCGATGCGTCTCAACGAAGTCGAGGAGAAAAACGAAGAAGCGGTGAACCAGAGTCTCCGTGGGACGCCTGCAAGCAACAGGTAGGAGCAGACGGGACTGACGCTCGCTTCGTTTCCCAGACTGATGTAGATCTGGAAAGAAAAATGTCCCAAAGTAGTCGGGGGGAAATGGCGACGGCAAAACTATGAAGCAAAGAGATGGAGCTAGGTTTACGGTTTTAACATTTGTCGCTTGAGAATCTTAAAAGTTTTGAACTACAGTGCCAGAGAAAAGAGAAAGAAAAGGAAGCTGCGTTTGGCTCAAAGTGACGCAGATTGACTTGAGCAGCGGCAGATGGCTGGTGGTTTGTCCCCACATCACTGAGCTTCCTTAACGAGATCTCTGCAGTATTCTGACGGAGATTCTCCACCGCTGTTTACTGATGCAGGTGGTGCTTCTGTTTGAGTTGAGTAACAAAATGAAACGGGGGGATGTTTTCACTCCCTAAAGTCTCAGCAGGCAGATAAAGGGGGTTAGAAAGTATCTGACGTTCTTTGTAGGTTCTAAGTGTCAAACTTCCTAAATGACGAAACGTCACACTGATGCCAAAGTTAGAAAACCGAAACGGGTTTTGGGTTCTGCAGGCAGGAGGTCGAGCTTGAAGAGCTAATAAGAAGGCTTGAGGTCATGAATGTGTGTTGCTTTCTGTTTTCACACTGAGAAGGACAATTAGTGGTTTGAGGATTGCACCTGGATTAGAGCTAATCCACCAGGTTAACCTAATCTGTAAAATCGGGCCTGATTGGCATTAAGAGTTTGATGGAAACAGGATTACAGCCGGGACAGCAGAAGCCAGAGGCTTAAAATGTCTCGGCTTTTGTCTTCCTCAGAAATGAACGCCAGTCCACCAGCAGGAAGTGCCCTGTCCCCCGGCGGAGCCGCGGGCCCCACCACTCCCAAGAAGGGCCCACCCAAGTTCAAGCAGAGGCAGACTCGCACGTTCAAGAGCAAGGCTCCCAAACCAGGCCAGAAGGGGTAAAGAAAAATTATTATTATTTTTTTATATCTAAAATGCATTTTTTTTAATCGGAAAAGAGACTCGTGAAAACAAATCTGACGCTTCACCTTTCTCGCCTTCGGCAGCTTCGGCGACGACATCCCAGGCATGGAGGGCCTCGGCACCGACATCACAGTGGTGTGCCCATGGGAGGCCTTCGGCGACATGGAGCTCAGCGACTTGGCCAAATACGGCATCATCTAAGCCTCCTGCCTTCCTGCCCCTCTGCCCCGTCCGCCTCTCTCCACCCGGCCGCCTCTCCGCCTCGGCTCGGCAGGCCGCCATAAGGCCGCCGGCCAACCCCCCTAACGCCCTCTCGTCTGACTACCTCATACTTTATTCCACTAAGTGGATTTTATTATTTTTATATCATTATTAATATATGATACTGTTTACAGTATATGTACTTGAAATGAGAAGACGAGAAAACCCCCCCAAGAACCTTTTCCCGTCCCAAAAGCCACATAGAGCAGTTTAAATCTCCCGCCTCTCTTCTCTCCTCCTTCGGCCTCCCCGCCCCTCCACACCCACGGCAACGGATGCAAGCCAAACGCGAGCTCGACACTAGCCCGTATTTAATGCTTCTAGCTCTGTGTTAAAATGTAAATAACGTCTGCTCGGAGTGAACCTTTGTACCTTCCTTTTGTACTTTCCTCCTCTTTCCCGTGGCGTGGCGTGCGAGTGCGTGCGTGTTCGCTTTGCTCCAACTGACCGAGGTTACCTTCAGCACCAAGGAGAGCGTGCAACATGCTGGAAGGGCCGACGCCACAGCGCACTTGGAGAATTAACTCCACCTCCCTTTCTTCCTGCCGCTGTCTGAACCCAGCTCCCTCTCAGAGAAAATAAAGACAGAATGTGCGTGTTTTGGGGGTTTTTTTCCCCTGTGTTCAGAAAATGTACTGTGAACTGGTTGTGTACTGATAGCTGCCAGTAAAGTGTATATTTTCAGCATCTGTGTCGGTCTCTGCTGTCGCTAAAGCCGATCTACTGAAAACATTGGGTACTAAGTTTCCAGGCCTTGTGTGAAACTGTATCTACCTGTGAAATCATCACTTAACTGTGGTTAACCACAAATACTCAGACGTGATTTCTATCAGGCCTCGAGAAACAAACAAGAATGATAACAGAACCTGTCCAATTACACGAGAAGGCTTCAAACATCTTAAAAGGAATCAAATATTCCCCTGATCTAAAGAAATTCAAGAAGAGATGAAGAAAACAGTCATTGAAATCTGTCATCTTAATCATCCTTTGGACATTTGTGAAGCTATTCTGTTCACTGATCTATGTGTCTTTTGGGGGAAAAAAAACTGAAAGCATTTCACGAGAAAAGAAAATTGTGCCGACAGCCAAACACGGCAGTGGCAGTGTGATGGGAGACTTGCAGTATTTGATGGAGCTATGATTTCTGCTCTTCCTACGGGAAAATGTCAGGACATCAATTTGTGACCTCATAAGCCAATGAAAACTTGGGTTCTGGAGAACAGCCAGTGATCCAAACCACACCAACCTCAAAAACAAGAAAAAAACTAAAACTTTGAAGTGACCGAATGAGTCTGGGGTTAAAGATGCACTCGCAACCAAAAACAACCAATCAAAGCCAGGCAAAGGGTCTCGGCTCCATCAATCAACCTAATGTACCTGCTGCTCAGTGTGCTAATGGCGGAGAAACAACTTACCAGAAGTTCAGACATTAGACCCAACTCGCTTGGATTCCTTGAGTTAGCTTTTTTTGACGATCCGAAACATTTAAGTGCTTTGGAGCGCATGACGTAAACATGCGTGGAGGCATGAATAACTCAATGATGCTCAGAGAACTGGAGCAAGACGCAGCGTTATCTGTGAACAGCTCATTTACAGAACATGAGCTGCATCTCACCGCTTTCCTCCTGCTGAAATCACCTGAACGGGCTGTTTTTGTAATGCACTAAATGACAGTCTTTGATCATAATGACCTGGTACAGTTCACGTTGCCCTGCAGAAGCTAGTCATTACGGCAGCCATGAGTAGGCGGATGTGGCCAGCGGCACCACTCGGTTACGCTGAGGCATTTAAAGGCAGCAGAGTTTGTGAAGGATCCATCGGTTCGCGGCTGACCGTCCGACAATGACATTCCCGTCAAGCAGCAGACGCTTCCCAGCTTGCCTAAGAGCTTTTCTGGCATTAGAGCTAAAGGGTGGCTTCGAACAGAGTTCAACACACCCTGAACGAACGAGCGCTGCGCTTGTCCAGGCATGAGCTGCGGTGTTTTGCAAGGACTCACGAGAGACAAAAGTCTAAAGGTGTTCTCTAGTCTTGCCGCAACTCTCCCCCAAGGCTAACGAACTGATTTCCAATGTTGTTGCCGTGATTCACCAGTAGCTCAGGCAACGGCCGTGTCCCGGTGACACTTGGGGGGGGGGGGGGGTGAGTCAGTCGGACTCGCCTTAAAGCCGTTCCTCACGACTCTGTGATTTTCACCCCTCCTGTGTTTGAACACTCAAGCCCAGACTCTCTGGTTAATCCGGATCGAGCGCCAGCGCCATCAGCAAATGGGATGCAAATTCTGATGGAGGTACGGAGGTGTGACTCCTGCAGCCGTCGCCGCTTCCAGGCGTGCGAGCCCCACCTGGACTCTGAGGGTGGGACCCGAGCGGGGCAGGTCAGAGAGGAAGGAACGAGTCTGGGTGCAGGTTTCTGTTTTCTGTTGCTGCGAAGGCAAAACAATCCAGCCTTCGAACGCATGACCTCACCACCTCCGTTTTACCTGGCGCTGGCAGTGACAGGAGCACATAGGGCAAGATAGGAGCTGCATGGCGACACACTGAGAAAACTCTACACCAAAGATTTTGAGAGGTCAAAAGGGTAAGTGTATTTTATTAGAAATTTGTCCAGACTTAAGCAGAAATCTTTTCCTACAATTTTAATACAAAACGCTTAAGGAGAGTTTTAGAATTTGACCGGAACGAGATGAAAGCATGGATCCATGAACATGTTGGTTTTTTGGGGGTTTTTTTTCTGCATACTAAGACATGCTTAAACTCTCAGCTACTCGACTACAACACCCAACAAATCACTGATAAAACTCCAGGGTTTCCTCAGAATTCAGTCAGAAGACCGAAACAGGGACCCAGTCAAGCTAAAATGTAAGATTTGGGCCGGATTAAATCTGCTTATGGGTCATTTCAGAATCTCCGACAGGCAAACAAAGGTTTCACTTTACAGGCTGAAGGAAGTGGTACTCACCTATCAGGACTGCTCATCTCTGACTGCTCTCCATTGTGACATGCAACAGAATATAAATCTCATGCGTGACAGACCGAATCGCATCAGACTTGATGGGTCAGCAATAAGATCTGAACAGGGGATCTTAAAAAGAGAAAAAGAGCATGAAAGGCAGGATCTGCGGATGAAACCTTCAGTTTATAACTGATTCTTACCACAGAATGTGCTCGGCTATGAAATTCAAGCGATGATAGAAGTGAAATATAGCGGGAGAATGGTATGGGCCCGAGAACTGAGGCTTGAGGCACTCCGGCCAAAAACTGCACCCAGGATGAGACACTCGCAGAGGTTCACCGATATGTAAAATCTGACACAATTCAGATGTCGTTCTTCAGATTAGAGAAGTGTGTTCCACAGTGTGAACAGAACTTTTGTGGAAGAAAGAAGGAAGAGCAGCTGAAGCAACAGGATCTTTTGGGTTCTGTACCGTTGGGATCTTTTGGAGGCTTTATTTTTTACTTCTGTCTCAATCTTGGCTCCGTACTGCATTTGTGATCTTGCAGCTCTAGTCTGGGCTCACTCACTGCTCTGCTTTGTCCTGGCATGTTCGCACACTCCCCGTTCCTGCACTGTGACTGAGAAACCTCTTTCTCCTCTGCTGTGCTGCAGACTCTGTTAACTCATGGTTTGGTATTGGACTCCGTGGTCTGATGTGCTTTTCTGTTGCAGGAACGAACCGCCACATCGAGAGAGAATTGATCAAGAAAGGCCGACTGTGGATTACTAAAACCATCATGGCTGTTTCTTATACGACGCATACGTCTCTCTTCCCACTTGTCTTCCTCGTCTGTGCCCCACTCGCATGCCAGTCCCAAAACACCACAATAAGCTCCATAACCACTCCCTCAAACATTACCTACCTGATGGGTGTGCGAGGCTGTGGAACCGGACTGAATCCAGAGTACAGGTACCTGTGTGACCGCCGGGCGGCATGGGGCATAGTCCTGGAGACCCTTGCCTCTGCAGGCTTCCTGTTGAGTATAGGTCTCTTTTTGGGCCTGCTGCTCTGGGCCTTGTGCACCTGCGTGTCTTCTCGGCACGGCCGCAGCGGCACAGTTGGGGGCTCAATACTCTCCGTGTCCATGTTCCTCCTGGCCACAGCTGGCATCTTCGCCATCACCTTCTCCTTCATCATCGGCCTCACCCCCCAGACCTGCCCCACCAGGGTCTTCCTCTTCGGGGTGCTCTTCGCGCTGGCCTTCTCCTGCCTGCTGGCTCGCTGCCTCGCAATGCTGGGCTTCGCTGCCGCTCGAGGCTGGGGGGAACCGGGCGTGGCCCTGGGGCTCTTTGCCGTCCAGGTCATCATCTCCACAGAGTGGCTTATCATCGTCCTGGTGCGGGACCAGAAACCCTGCCAGTACAGCCAAAAGGAGTTTGCCATGCTGCAGATCTACGTGCTGTGCCTCTTGCTGATCAGTCTGATTCTGTCCATGCAAATTCTGTGCCGCTCCTGCTTCACGTACAGCTACAGCTACACGGGACCCACCAACCAGCAGTGGAGGGCTCAGGCCGCGACCCTCTGCGTCACCCTGCTGCTCTCAGCCTGCATCTGGGTGGTGTGGATCGCCATGCTGACCAGGGGGAACCCCGAGGTGGACCGCCGGCCGGTCTGGGACGACCCGGTGCTGAGCATCGCCTTGGTCGCAAACGGCTGGGTGTTGGTGATCGGGCACGGCCTGTCCCAGGTCGCCTTCTTCTGCAGGGGGGAGGCCACAGCGCAGGAAGTTCCTCTAAACTTTGTAGGCTGGACCAGCCCCAGCGCCGACATCCCCGGACTGGGAAGCCAGAAGGAAGGAAAGGAAAACGGAAGCTTCGAGACGGACGGCGAGAACAAGAGAGGTGAGATGGAGACATGGTTAGAGTTGGTCTCTGCTCTCACTCTGTTCAGAAACCTGTTTGAAAATCTGATGTTACTGATGTAGCACAAACTAAACTTATTACATTTAGCAGATTAGGAAATGTATTAAATCTACCCGGATCCGTGCTGCATTCGTTATCCTGCAGCTTTAGTCTGGGCTCGCTCACCTCAGCAGTTTTTTTTTTTTTTTTTTTTTTTTTAGATGACCAATTACACATGAATTAAACACTGGCAATAAAGCAAAACACCATTTCAAGAAAATCCCCATTAGACTCACACATTTCTCCACCGTTTAGCAATGCGTCTTAATTCAATTAAACAATATCATCAAACAGTTTAAAGGCTCAAATAAACTGTTTGCCTTTAACAGTTTAGCACTTGCTGAGATGCTTGAGAATCTGTTATTGTCCAGGCAAAAAAACAACAACAACAAAAAAAAAATATTCAAACTTAACTCCAGGGCAGAGATTTCATGTCGGTGAAGCATATGAGACAGATGGCGTCTAGCTGAAGAAAAAGTGCACAGTATATTTTGCTGTAGAACAGAGGAGCTTAAAGTATAATATCTATTTACTAATTTATGGTCATATTAATGATTTAAACAAAAAAAAAGTTTATTTTAAAACACACAGACGTTTTCACACCCTTCAAACTTTGTCTCATTTCAATGACCAACTTCAGTGTATTTCACTGTGATGTACACAAATTATCACATGAATATGAAATGGAACATAATTTGAAACCTGTTTGAAAGGTTTCAAATTAAAGGTGTGTTCGGCCCCTCTTGACTGTGACGCCCAAAATAAAATCGAGTGCAAACAGTACAAACATCACACAAAATCCCAACGTTGCACATGAGGGCTTCAGATTCAAAGTGAGGAAAACGGTAAAAAGTTAAAAGGGTGTAATACTTTTTTTTTTTTTTTTTTTTTTTAATGTTTTACATTTTATATTCTTCTGTCTTGGCGTCTCAAGTATCAACAGATCTAACTGTCCAAGTTAGAGAAAACATATGGAACTGGTTCCTGATTGGATTTTCTTGTGTGAGTTGAATTAGAGAATCCCAAAAGTTTTCATTTGAAAAACGTAACATTTGAAACCAAATCTAGGCTGTTTTCTGACAATTTCTATATTTAACAAAGTCAACTTGCATGCTACAAAACCCCTAAGATCTGCTAATGGGCCCGTTTCCCCATATTCACACTCCTGACTTAAATAAGTGGGTCACTAACAGGCTTCTGTGGAAATCAATGTCAGGCGAAGGAGATGATATAGTCATTTAAATCAGTGGTACTGAACCGTGGAAAACGCAGAACGCCGACCCCGGCTGCAGATTGAAAGCTCAGGTCGCTGCACATTCACAACAAAGTTTTCTTAATTCGAGATATTTTATGTCTGCAGTCTCTGGGGGCCAGAACATAATTCGTTTACCTTCAGAGGTAGAACATGAACAAAGTTATTTTCTGGCCTGCAGGGAAGTTCTCACAAGGTCCTACATCAGTGTAGTAACCGAGCCCGCTTCAAACGTCTAACTTTGCAGTGATTCCCAACCCTTGTCCTCAAGCCAACATTGCTCTGCATGTTTCAGATGTTTCGCTGCCTTAACACACCCGAGTCGGACGACTGCAGATCAAGAAAAGCCTGTTAATCAGATGTGCTGAAGCAGAGAAGCACCTGAAACGTGCAGAGGCTGGGTTAGAGGTCGGGCTATGATGTCATCATCATTTGCCAATAATTGGTGTCAAATATTAGTCAACTGTGCAGAAATCTAAAGGATCAAAAAAAGCAAATTAATAGATTTAAAAAAAAAAATTAAATGCAAAACAACTATATAAATAAATATATAAATATTTTGGGGCCTGAGCACACAGCCCTGATGAACTTCTGCTAAAGTCTGACTCTGTGTAAACCTGAGGCAATGGGGTGATGACCATTTATTCTCTACAATGAGGATGAAAATCTGCAGAATGGAGATGTTTACCTTTTTTTTTTTTTTTAAGAAACTCCACAAACTTTTCCATACGAGCTCAAAATTTCTGATATTCTTGATTCTACATATTTTATTCCATTTACTTAAATGTTTTCCACCGGCGTTTTGATGATTTATCTCAGGCGATGAGCTCATAGTTTTGAAAGTCAGAAGGCCTCACTGCCATCACCTTAATCATCAGCTCTTTCCACAGATTCTCTCTCAAACTGTGTCAAAACTCTGGTTTGGAACAGACGGTCTGGGTCAACAGTCTCTTCTGACTGGTCCAAAAAAAAGTGAATCTATGTCCAGACCTGGTCAAATCAGTTCTCAGTCTTTTCCCTTCCAGATTCAGAGAGAATCTCCTCCCTGTGCTGAGCTGCTGCTGTGAATGATCATCATCCTCCTGCGAATGCAAATAGCCCCTTCTGTGGTTTCATTTATGGCGTTGGCTCGGATTTATAATATCCGGAACATATTACATAGGAAAATATCTGCCATGAAAAAGCAAAGAGCTTTTTTGTACTGGGAGACGCTGAATCTGAGTGTATGCGAGTGTTTATGGGCAATGTCTTCCTTGAGGAAACTGATTTTTCTGCTGATAAAAACTGCAAAGATTGAGCCTGGGCAGGTGAATGTGCCATCATTCTGCTCAGGTCGCACTGTGTACTGTGAACGCTGACCTGATTCTTCCCAAACTGCATCATGTCTCTCCCCCTTCAGGCAGGAGAGCTGAGCCAGCGCTGCGATCCCCCTACGAGTCAGGCTTCTCCATGACGGTAAAAAAAAAAAAAAACAACCCACTGAGACTTTCTACCTCAGCAATGCAATAAAACTTAATGAACACACCGCTTACCCGTGTCTTTCAGGAGATTGACCCCAACAAGGACTACACCATCCCTCGCCCTCAGACCACCAACTTCAATGAACCCTATGATGAATACTACGGAGAAGAATAAAGAGGCATCACGGCTCACCAGTGCACACGCAGGAAATCCGCCGCAAGACCAAAAGGACACGGACGTTTGAATGTGCGAATGTAAATATTGTTGGTGCTTTGTTTCATAAGATGAAATGCTTCCGTGAGTGAAATGGGAATCGGCTGTCTGACACGCCGAGCTCGGACGGAGAGCAGAGGGAGTGAGTCTCTGTGGTTATGTGCGGTCATGGTCTGTTCTGATCATAGATGTATATAAAAGCCCCTTTGTCACCCCGAGGTGACAAAGGAGGCGTGAAACCATCGCAACGAAAGTGCCAAGAGCTGCCGAGGAGAGCGGGTCATCAGAGAGGACAAAGGTCAGCGGATGAGATGAAAACGTTAGGTGGGACCTGAAAGACGAGGCGAGACGAGACAAAAAGGACGTCAGGACGGGACTGAGTGTGCTATCGGCAAGTTGCTTCCTCTCGTTGAGATTCAGTTCTGCTGTTCTGTGGTTGTTCCTGCACAAGGTAGCTCAAGTAGACGTGCACAGATTGCATTTTTAAAAAGCCTGACCTGTTGATACATCTTTTTCTTTCCTTTTTTTTTTGACTGAAAGTTGCCAAAGTCACTAACTTGACAACGGTGGGGTGGCTACTGTTTACTGGTGGATGAGATCGGTTTCACGTACGCCGTCCGTTTGGCAGATTCCCAAAATTCAGAAAATTGGGGAAGATTTCAGAGCTAAGTCCTGGAATTAATATTACACAGACGGATGTCTATCAATGAGTTGCAATTTCTATAGAAACTGGAGTAAACTGGAGTAAACAAAGGTGTATCAAACATTTTGTCAATAAAAAGTTCTTTTACAGAGGCTCAGTTTCTTGCACCATGATCTATCCAGACAGGCTCAAATGCAATCATCGAGAAGGTAATTCAGTTCAAGAAGTGAAAGCCGCTTAATGTCACTGAAACAGGCAGATTGACCTTACAGCTACTGAAAACAATTGAGTATTTCTCAGAAAATAACAAAGCACTGTAGTGTCACAGTTTGACCGCCAGATGGCGACATACGGGCATTCTAAGGAACAGGAGCTGCCATTAAGAGTGCAGTTATCACGTTCCCTGTCTCTTCCCTTCCAACTAAAGCAGCACACAGGATGATTTAAATTCAATAATCGCATTTTTTCCCTCCCCCTCCACTGAGAACCAATTTATGCCTAACCTCAACAAACCCAAATCCCTCTTCTTTATCAGGACGCTCTTCAATCTACTCTTCCAATTACCCCAACTTCCAATTATTCAGAAAGACACGTGCCATCAAATTGGCAATTGGCCTCTCGTGCATTAGAGCAATTAGCGAGTATGAGCTTTTTCCTGTCGCATCCAGCCCATTTGCTCCACATGCAATTAAAGCTGGCTCCAGCGGATTGTTTCCCCCTTGGCATCCACGAGGAAAAGTGTGGAGCCGCTTATCGCTCAGAGGATTTCGGGTCCCGGGGAGAACAAGGCCTCTGCAATCCATCAGTCATCTCGGCTGAAGCCAAAGACCTCCACCTCGTTTTCTGACAGAGAACCCAGAGACTAGACTCGAGTCAAAGTAGCACTAATCCAAGTGAAACTGGAGTAAACAAAGGTGTCATATTTTTGAACTGGGCAGACAAAATAGAATGAGGAATTTATGTAAACGTGAAACATAATCACAAAATAATTGCCAAATACTTCAGTTGTGATACTCCATATCAATATTACCCGGGCAAAAGTAAAAAAGTATAATAAAATGCAGCGTCGTAAAACTATCCCGAAAAAGTCCCTCCAGTAATTGGAGCCACTTGCTGCTCGCCTTTCGATGCTTTTTGGAAAGTTCCTGGCGCAGTTAAAAGCTTTCGAATCAGGTTACAGTTCCCTAAAAGCAAAACAAAAAATACTAGAAGTACAAGATTAAGTCAAATCATTCTTCCGTGACAAAACATGGCGTATTGTCCTGATATGAATTTAAGACTTTCTAACGTTACACCAACAACTGAAATGACCTGAAACATTCCTTTACGGTTTATTATGTTCCGGCCATCACAAAAATCTACGGATGCACCGATTGCTGTGTTCTGGCCGATCGTGATTTTGAACAAGTCTGACCTAGAGATATTAAGATTTTTTTTTTTTGTTTCCCCCTCTGAAAAGTTAAAGTTACTATAGTTACCTGAGCATATGCAGACACAACCTGGTGCTCTGTCAGTCAAATTTCTTGAGTCTCGGCAAAGCAAAGGGGGTCAGCGGTTAATTTTCAGACCTTTGTTGAGGGAGGTGAGATCGGCTTGACATACAAACATCGGGCCGGTCGACCAAAATGAAGGAAATCTGTGCCGAACACTCTGTAAAAATCGCAACATAGATTGACGTTTGCGATTGTGATGTGACGAGGTGCGACAAAAAAAAAACGGACTATTTCTGCAAGGCGACGCGAGAGACGAGCAAACCTGCAGGCGAGAGAAGACATGAAGACCAGCATAAAAACCAAACAGTTTATTATATACATTCAATAATAATGAAGAGAATAAACAAAAGGCAGACAAAAGGCTGGCAAAAATAAAACATCATGAGAAAATACACTTATTTACTTTCACTTATTTAAAAAAAATCACTTGGATAAATGAGCTTTTAAGAGCATGTGACATAGAAAAGAAACCTTCACATGCAATTCAAACCCATTTATTAACTGCTGTACAGACTCCCACTGAGCTGGCTGGCTGGATAGGAGAACTTTTGCTTCCTTCGCATCAATCCGTTTCATTTGTTTTTTGTTTTTTTTGACACTTTCCAAATACAATTTGCCCCAATTATCAGATATGAGAACAAGCAAACATCTCATGCACCCGTCGGCTGGGGATCTGGGGCGGGGGGATCCCTCCGCGTGCCAGAATCCGACCTCGGATGAGTCGGAGCCGAATTGAACTATTCATCCAAAACGACCGGACGTTCACCAGGACGACAGAGGCCCAGGCGAGAGATCCTCCCCGCCAGAGTAACGCGGAGCGCTCCTGTCGCCTCCCGTTGAGCCTCAAACACTTTCAGCCCGGACTTTCCGTAACGTTCCTCGTCAGTCACGTCGCGGCGCATCACGTCGCAAAAGCCCTCCCCACTTCGTGAGCCGTAAACACTCCCATCCTCCTCCAGCACTAGGATTTGAATTCATGCACAAATAATAATAATAATAATAAAAAAAAAAAAACAGAACAAAAAAAAAAAAAAACAAGACTGACACCTTTCCTCTCTCGCAAGAGCATGCATAGCAACACTTCTGATAATACTTGTAAGGAACAGAAAGTCAAAAAAAAATAAAATAAAGAGGTAATGCTCGTCAAGGAATACTCGTTGGACCTACTGCACACGGATTTCACAATCATACGAGAAAAACAGAAAACACGGCACATCACGCGTCGCGTTGGTACCAATCCTCCTCTGGAAGGCCGGCAGCGTCACATCCCCTGCGCTCCTTTTGACGCGTCTGCAGCGTGGAAACTACGTGCGACGTCGCCTCGTCGACGTGATGCCGCCACGCGCTTTGCGTGTGATATTTTGACTCGTACCCAACGTGGAAGAGTTGCGTACTTTATACGTTTGGGCGTCGAAGGGATGCGGCATGTTCAAACGTGGACGATCCTCCTGACGGTCCGCGTGCCGGCGCCGTCATTCTGTCAGCTGATGATCGACGGGCGCCGCTTCTCGCCGTCGCATCGTTCACGAAACGCGGACGGCATTGGACCCATTTCTACCTGCTCCGATTTCCTCCGTCTGCACATCTAACGCTGTGTTTGTGTTTGTTTTCCAACCCCCCACCCCTCCAAAAAAAAAACAAAACAACAAAAACAAAAACACCTCAATAAATTAAGGGTGAGAAGCAAATTCAAATCACGTCCACTGCAAATCTTTCAACGCTTTTGTCGTTTTTGCCTTGATGACGTTTCTCCCCTCACGAGGTACAGCTGCGAACCGCTGGGTAAAATATTGCAAAAGTAAAAGTCTTTAAAAAAACAACAGAAAAATAACAGAAGAAATACATCAGAACCAAAACAAACAAACAAACAAAAAAAGAAATTAGATGTGCTGTCTTTAAAAAAAAAGAAAGAAAGAAATCTTTGGAAAGGCAAATGATAGTGAGATTCGTAGAGGGAAGTGGTAAGTCAGTCGTTTGCATGACGCCTTCAGTCACCAGGAGTAAAAACCACAACATGATGAATTTTAAACTAAACTAGTTGATGAAATCCTATCTTTTTTCTCTGCTGTTTTTCCTACTTCATTATATTACTGTGATCTCTACATGCTGCTGGATTGGAACTGCAGTGTAAACAAAAAAAACAAAAAACAAAAAAACAACAACAACAAAAAAGAAAAAAAGAATGGAGGAAAGAAAAAAGAAGGAACAGAACTGAATTGTTTCCCTCGTAGCTGCTCCCGCTTTTCCTTTCTGTCCTGTCGCGTTCATGTCCGTCCAATCCGCTCGCTGCAGCTGGAATGTCTTGACGGTTTGGGACACAAACATGTACAGGGTCCGTTGTTTTTTGTTTTCTTCTCTTTTTTTCCTTTTTGACTGATTTGAAAGAAGCAAAAGTAAAGTATCAAGAGCGAGTGAGGCGCCGAACTTTCACAACGAACTGGAATCTACGTCCGCCGGAGAAAATAGTTACGTCCGCTCGAGTTGTAAACCAAACAACTGAGGTAATGCAGAAAAAAAACACATCTTTCCTTGTCACGTTCAAACGCATCGGAGGACTGATTATCTCGTCTTCTTGAGTTTTCTAGAGTATACTGGGTTGAAATGACAAAGATGAAGGCAGTGGGATATAGTTCGAAGCAGTGGTTTCCATCATTGAAATGAAGAAAAGAAAAATCCTATATCCTGAATCAAGTACTTGGTTTCATCCATTAGTTTTTTTTTTCTCCTCTCATTATTGTTTCAACTATTCAGCCGGAAAAGATGATTGCAGCAGATCTACGCTGTGCGTAGCTATAAATGTAGTGTTTAAAAACAGAGAGTACCTTTGCACATTAACGCTGTGGCAGTTCGGAGTCGCAGTTCAGTCCAACGTCGGGAGAGAGAAACGTTACGCTTGGTGCTGAATGGAGCTGCGGGTTTAAGTGGGTCGAGTTACAGGGCAGCTCGTGTGGAGAGACAAAAAAAAAAAAAAAAAAAAAAAAAGATTCGTAGTGTTTCAGAGGTCCCTCTCCGCCTGGGTCCCGTAGTTTTTTTTCTTTCTTAAAATGATCCCAAACGCTGCTCTGAAGTTCAAACCAGCGGCAGGCTCCAGCTTCATACGTGGGGGACCCTCGTCATAGCAGGTTTTTCTGATTTTTTTGTTGCGTTTTTGTTTTCCTGTCTTTTACCCCCCACTGGTTTCATGTCGGCGACAGAAAAAAAAAAATTACAGGCAGTTTGGTTTTGGTGATGTGGCAAAGACCACAAAAAAACCCAAAAAAAAAACAAAAAAAAAAGAGAGAGAAAAAAACAAAACTGGCAAAAAAAAAAAGTGAGAAGTGAGCTGTCACTATTATAGTCTGCCTGCAGATAAAATGGAGGGGAGGCTCCTGCCAAAAACACGGAGCTTCAGAGGGAGTTTTGGAGAGAAGTGGAATTCCTTGGATGGGATTGGGGTTTTTTTGTTTTTTGTGGCTTTAGTAAGGAGCAAACCTACTGTATCCCGCCCGGTATAAACTAGCCTGGAAGACAGAGGACAGACAAAAACAACAAAATTAGACCCTTATAGAAATGTCTACGTTTATTTGAATCTTTACAGGTTCCTGAAAATGGTCTTTTTCAAAGTTGCAGAGTTGTTACATGACTCGTTTAGAGTTTATTGTGGTAACGGGCTATTTTATAGTTTATAAAACAGACTATATTTATGTTTGAAATAATCTTGAGTTCTAGTTTAGTTCCAGCAGTAAAACCATATGAATGGCCAAAACTAATTTCAAAATGGTCTTCTGTTGTTTCATTTTTGAATAATATTATGTTGCTACAACCCTAGAGAACCAATTTACATGCTCTATGACGGCCTTAGTTGTTGCATTCATGATCCTGTCTTCTCTGCTGTCCATGTTTCATTTTGTTCCTGTGTGTCTCTTTGAAAAAAGACACGAGCAGAGAAAACGAGACATCCTTCATACACTTCAAAGTAAGAGCATGAATATAAACATCTAACTGTTTGAAGAAATCCTGACAGTAGATGAACAAAACCTGGACACAAATATCAAACTTTACTCAGCTGAAAGCTTACGAAACAACCAAGTAAACTGGCACTTTTGAATGAATCCTGAAAAATTTACTTTTGTTTTCAAAAATAGTAAAAGCTTGACGTAAAAATTTAGCTTAGCTATTAGCGTGTTAGCAGAAGTGCGCCCTCCACACCTGTCATCTATTAGTTAGGTATTGATCAACATTCCAGAGGATGTGCAGTGAAGCTGCTGTTTACAGCACAACCGTGCTAACCATGCTAATTGCTAACCTAAGAAGAAAATCTTATGTTATTTGTAGGACTGTCGGCTCACAGAGAACCACTCACAGCAGGACGGGAAACAAGAAAACCTTCTTAAAGAGCAATTTGTATTGGCAAATCCAAACTTTACAAAAGCTGGGTGCCAGAAAGTGGCAATAAATCTCAGATTTTCTCATTTTAGAGACGTGACTCTTACCATGGCTCCCACTCCGTAGGCAGCAGCAGCTGGAGTTAACGCGTGGTACGGATCTGTAGTGTATACCCGCCCATAACTAAATAATCAATGATAAAACAAAAGGTCAGAACGTTAACAATTTTCTATCTTCATCTGAGGATAAGCCAGTCATTCGGCCTCACCTGTCACTGTAGGCGGCAGCAGCGGCTGTTGCTCCGGTCACGGCAGCAGGCTGGGCGTAGCGATATGCGGCGGCAGCGGCGGCGGCGGCAGCGGCAGGATAGCCTCCCTGGAGACACACACACACATGCACACACACAACTAACTGGCATGGCTCCGAGGAGGAAACAGCTACTGTGAACAGGTGATATTATTTGCAAAAAAAAAGAAAAGAATTTTATCACATAAAAGCCTCATGGTATCCTAAAAATAACTAATATACATCTAAACTTAGGAAAGAAAAAAAACAACGAGCACAATGTGTCAGTGTGAGACAGAGGAAGAGACAGAGGACACTGGAGTGTCAGGATTACTGTATTACCACTAAAGGGAAGGAGGGAAAAGAGGTGGAAGACAGAATGTCCTGCTCAGGGAACAAAACTTAAACTCTGTGCGGAGGAGAAAAAGGACTCAAATGATTAAGAGAAAAATAATCTAATGGTGGCTCAACATGATGCTGATGATGATAATGAGGATCAGATTCATGTTACAAACTGTTCTGTCAGAGGGATTCAGGACAAATAAAGAGACAAAAGAAAAGATGAGAACAAAGTGAGGACACACTCACACAGGCCCAGACAGACAAAATCATCCCTCTGCACCGAGACTCCATGCATGACCCAGAATTACAATTCAGAGTTCAACAAGAAAAAAACAAAACAAAACAAACAACAACAGCAAACACCCCCACTGCATTTGAACCTGAGGTGAATGTGAGATCAGCAAAGCCGAAAAGAAACACCAGATCGTTCTCTAAGGCTCCTGTAGGGCAAAAAGCAGCAGCAGCAAGGGCAGGAGAGGGAGGGTGGGGTTATTAATGGGGGGGAGCGGGGCTCTCAAGGCGGGTGGAGGGAACAGGAGGAAGGGGGTGACAGCAATGTAGTAGGGCCGCATGCACCAGCTGATCAGCGCATGCTTGGCTTATTATCCTGGGAGGGGGTCAAGTCAGGCAGAACGCATGCTCTCCGCTTCAACCTGGAGGCAGAAGGCTTAAAGAGAATCTTGCTAGCTAAAATCGCTAAACCAAACCACAGAGCTCTAAATGGTTAAGTGGGAGTGGGGGGAAAAAACAAGAAAAAAATAATAAAATCGATGGCTGAGCTGTGTTTGTAACACGGTTATAATTGTTTTGGGGGAAGAAAAAAGAAAACAGTCAGCAGTTCTTGGTCACAGTTGTTGAACAGAGGCTGCAGTTTTGGATGCAGCATGAAAGGCGCCGGGAAAGCCCACGAGGAGTTAAATCAGGCAAATACTTGAGACCCAACTCTAAAAAAATGCTTGTATTTTAACCGTTTTAAACAACAAATGTGTATTATTATGCATTAACGCGCACAGCGGAAGCCGTCTTAGCACCGCCGCAGAAGCTACCATCTACAGTTTTCCTTATTTCCACTCTTGGGGGTTCGGCCAATCAGCGTTCAAGAAAATAAGTGCAGCTCCTGGATTTGGCTGCTTCGCAAATTCTTTTGTCAAGTAGCGTCATTGCAGATTTCAGATAAAGACCAATTTAGTCCGATACTCATATTTCGTCTGATATCGGACCGATTTCCAATATGAATATTGGATCAGGACGCTCCTGGCTCAAAGGTGCTGAAATGCTTTAGAAGAAGACTGAGGTGACAAAAATTGCACGTCAACAGTTTAGCTTGGGTTCGACCCGTTAGCACCGGTTCGGGCGTGTCCAAAGTGTGGCCCAGGGACCATTTGTGGCCCTTGAAATTACGTTGCTTGACCTCTTTATCGCAAGTCAAGAATAGTACAAATTTGGCCAACAAAATGAAACGGTTGAACCAAAAAATTTGGAAATTTCCCGTTTTTCCTTTTAATAAGGCAACAGTTGAAAGTCCTTTAATATTTTGGAACTTTAAGGCTATACTGCCTTCCTAAAAAATTTATTTATTGTTGAACAATTAGATTAAATTTTTTAAAAATAAATAAAATGAAATAAGTTGCCAGTTTGGACACCAATTATAATAAAACTAGTGATTTTTGTCCAAATAATTTTTTGTAATATGGATTTTTTTTTACTTTTACCATTGATTAAAAGGAACTCAAATAAAAATATTTGCAGTAAAATGTATGTGACAAAAACTGAGACCAGCACTGTAACTCTAATGCAGGTATGAAAAAAAACTACGACTGTAAATGAAGGGGAAAAAAAAAAAAAATCACGTTTTTGCCAATGGGAAGATCGAATAATTGCAATTTTATTTCCTGAACAGCCAACAGGTTCTCTTTTGAACAGCTTGTGACAAAGACTACAAGCAATATACATATATTTATATATATTTTTTTAGTAGTAGTAGAAGTTTAGTGAACAAACAAAAAGTTCCCCTTTTTCCACAAGTGGAAAGATTCAGTGAGTTAGTAGAAGAAAAATAAAAACAAGTAAAGCAAAACTCCAAAGCCTTTTTCTCAACAACTAAAAGACGACATGTTCCAGATCAGATCAGAGGATGATTCGTAAGATCAGAGGAGGTAGTAAAGTCAAACAATGCACACTGGAGGTTCGATGGTGAGGTGACCCTACCTGAGGCAATCTGGGACTAAGGACTGAGTCCTGTAACACTAGTCTATAGAGAGAACAGAAACAGCCGTTGTCAACCTGGATACGCACACACTCACACACACACACACTGATGCACACCGCAGCATCCGCCCACAAAGCAGCCTTTGTAGTGGTGTTTCAGATCCTCCTTACTATGATTAAGATGGTCTCTTTTTTTATTCTTAATCAGCTTGTTATTTTTAAACCCAGACAGATCTGTGTGCGTGTGTATGTGTTTGTCACTATTCTTTTTTACTGCAGATACCAAAAGCCCTCCAGCATGAAGTACCTTGCAAATTACTGACGCGTTTGAGCAGTTTCACCATCATACAGGCAGCTCTGTGCGGCGCACGGCTGAATGCACATGCAGAATCACCCCGAGAGGGAAAAGGAAAAGGAAAAAAAACAAAACGAAACGAAAACAACAGAGCAGACAGAAGGCCGTGAAGGCAGGGACAGAGATGACGTGTTGTTTCGGAAGTGAGTTTACTTACATATAAGTCTGCAGCTCCGTAAAACCCATCCTGATACACCACGCTGAGAGCAGGGGGAACGAGGAGGGGGGGGCGGACATGGCAGATGTACAGAGAGGACGAGGGAAGCGGAGTGGGAAGGTACAGGAGGGGAGGGTGTGGCGGAGTGGAGGGAGGGGCGCAAACGGAGTGGTGCACAGTCCCCAAAAAACCCCCCAAGGTGGATGAGGATCACAACACAGCATAAACAAAGAGAGGGAACAGAGAGGAGAAAAAACAGAGAAAAAAAAAGTGTTATTTCACACCCATGCAGCATGCAGAGGAAATACAACTTCCATTTAAGCTCCATGAGTGCAGCTGGAAACAATTGTACGTTTCACTCCTAGGGCAGGGCCGGCCCAAACATTGTTAGGGCCCTAAACGGGTTTTCATTTGAGGGCCCCATCAATGCCAACATGTCAACACCAAATAATTTAATATTCCTAAGCTACTCTATGTCTGTAACATACCTGTTATCATTAGCATAATGCCAGTGTTATCATGGCTATTAAAGCTGCAGCATGTAACTTTAATTTTTTTTTTAAACTTATTTGTTGATGTTATATCTTACCGTCACAGCATAATGATAAGAGATGATCTGAAAAAAAAAAATCTAGCTCCTCTACCTTCTTCCAGCACTAATCATAAAAATAACCAATCTGAGCCAAGAGGAGGGTCTTCGCACTTTCAATCATGTTTGCGCTCAAGTCAAATCAAAGTTCATTTCTGAAGCACATTTACGACTTGCTCAGATTTTTTTCCCACAGATTATATGTCTCGTGTGATTCTGTCACACTATGACAGTTTTTATATTTAATGAATATGAAAAAAAAACATGCTTGAGTAAAAGTTTCGTACTGCCGCTTTAATTTTAACCATGCAGGAGTAGCAACCAAAAAAAAAAAAAAAAAACATTGGCTTTTGAGATGCAGAGTAGTATTAAAGCATTCCACACTATTTTAATTATTTTTAAAGTAACATCAGCTCATAAATACCAAATTTACAGTAAGTTAACAAGTTTGATATTATCATATTTTCCCAACAGTAGCAGCAGCATCCAATAAACAGAAGAGATTCATGTAATTTATTTTTGGTACACCAACTATGCAACAATACAGACATTTTTCTATGCAGTTTATATTGTTGAATATTACTTTGAATGCATGTATGTTATCATGCTGGCTTGGTGTTATTTTGGCCCCTGTGGTAGTGTGGGGACTTAACTCACATCTGCCTGGGGCCAGCTCTGCTCCCGGGGCCAATATGTCAAGTTTAAGAATCTAAAATGTGATGGTAAAGAGCGACTGTTCCCCTGCGAGGAGAAATGCAATAAACTGCCTCTCTGATTGGGTCGTTTTATAGAGAATTACGCCTGGAGGTGGAGCCGGCGTGGAGAGGGTATTTCCTGCATCCTTCAATTTCCATATTCCCGAGTTTAATCATATCACAGCAAGTAGCAGCTAGGCCGTAAATCATTCAAATCTGCTTTGATCGCAGTGGAAATGCAGCAGCGGACCATCCCCCTACCCCCCACCGATTAGTCCTGTCATCACAGCACAACGACATGCACGGTACACAGAAAACAGACCCAGGCAAAACTGGTTCGTCTGTAGCTAAACCTGTGTACAAGGTGACTGCGTTTTGCATTATGTGTGTGCTTATGCAAATCTGCTGTCGGAGGGCGTCTGTTTATTCAAATCAACCCGCAGTGGTGTGGCGCAATCCAATCAGAGCGGAGCGCCGCGTTTCGGCTGCTTGCGAACAGACTGAAAAGAAGCTGAGGGTGACCACCGACTGAGCGTTTGAGTCAGACAGAGACCCGGGCGAGCAGATTTGTTCAAGCACCATACAAAGCTGACTAAGATTTTATTTCTGATGTCCCATGTTACTGCGCATATGACGTCAACAGCTGCTGTTGACTAAACAGGAAGATTTTCATTACCCAGGGTAGGCAGGGATGGCGGGCTGAGGCACGGCCGCCCTGACGGCGCTGTAAACGGGCCGGCCTCGGCCTCTGAGGTGAGCGCCGCGGAACGCCGCCGCCGCCGTCGTGGCTGCCGCTGCCGCCGCTGCGGTTGGGTAGGGAAACCCAGGGACTGGAAGGACATGACATGGGTTTGTTGAGATGAAGGTGAGAATGTCGCTGCGATCGTTTGGCAGACGGAGGACGCCCTTACCTGCGTAGATCTCTGGCCCATACACCGCTCCCACCATGGGACTTAGCTTCCACCCTGCTGATTGGTAACAGAGACAGGCAAAGGCAAGCAATAAAAGAAGCACTTTAAAAAACCTTTACATTCAATATATAGAAAATGTTTTCACTTTACAATTCGCCTAAGTACTCCAATGCACCACTTTTACTTTGCACTGTTTGTTTGGTGTTTATTACTGGAAACAGTGATTCACCACGGCTCTATTCCACCTGTGGTTAGCATACTCCCACATGTTAACATAGCAGATGTTACTAGCACCGTGGCTAATGTAGCAACAAGTGGTAAACTACTAAATTCTAACTCAGCAAAACCTGTTAACTGCTGTTAGCCAATAGGAAGGTTGCTAATGCTAGCTAGCATACTATCTACATTCAACACAAAATGTAGTGCTAGCTATTATAATAAAAATGATGTTAGTAGCATATTAGCTAATGGTGGCATATTACCTGATGATAGTATGCTAAATTTTACCATACTATCATTATGCTAGTGTTTAGCGCTAGTGATAGCGAGAAGGTCACTGTTAGCATGCTAGCTAGATAATTACCAATTGTTGCATAATGCTAAATTCCAGCACTGTAGAGAACATTAGCTACTATTAGCTAACATGCTATTAGAAATAAGTTATATATTGTGATTTAACCAGTTAATTGTGCTATTTTCTTCCATGTTGCTCTACTGACTCTTCAGTTTTAAAAATACCTCTAAAAAAAATTAAGAAGTGATCGGCTACAGTCGGCTGATGTGCTTTGATTTCAGTTTCTTCAGAGTATGACTTTTCTATACCCTATTTCTGCTCTTATATTTTTACAACTTTGTGCTCTTTGCCAAAGACTTCTGCTTACAGCATTTTCTGAAGAAATGCCTTTTAATATACAGTTTATGATGCAGTTTTTTTTTTTTCGATGAGAGCTTAACCCACTGCACAAATCGTTTTAATAAGATAGCATGTGTACGAGCGTGATTAAACATTTTGAAGGAAGCAGAGAGGACAAAGTGGAAATTTCAGTCCTACTGCCTCTCTCCCTTTGGGTTTTTTAGGTTCGGTGTTGGCGTGCGTCACTGCGGTTGTTACCATAGGGCAGCGTGCTGAGAGCCTCTCCATTAGGGTAAGGGCTGACGATTTTCTTGTTAGTCATCACCCTGGCGGTGGCATTATTCACCTGTGGGGGGAGGGGCGGAGGAGCAGACAGTCAAGCGCACAGACAACAGAGGAAGAGAAAATTAGCACACAAACTCAAAATTTAGGCCAAGGCTGATGTGTAGCTTGCTTATAACACTGTGGAGATAATTAACGTGCATATTGCTGATTATGATGCCTCCCTCTGACAATTTTATTTGCTGTCCTATTAAAAATGATTATATAGAGCATTTAGAGTGCAGGTTGATTTTCTTGTGTAAACATCTACTTTTCATGTTTAGCGATTTCACTCTGACGTTTGTTTTGAACCTTAATGATGCCATGAGGAACGTTTCTAAGGAAAACATTACAATATTTCTACTTAAACGGGAGGAATATCACAACTTGAGCAATATGGAGACACAATTTGTTTTTGTGAGTAGGCTGTTTGGAAATCTGACGGTTTTTGCCATCGGTGAAATCACCAAACCTATGATGGTTCCAGCAAACAGCAACAATTTTCTCGGTAGAAGTTTTACTGATGGAAGAAAACTCAAAGTTAGATATACGTGGAATCAGAGTAATCTGTGAAAGTATAAGAAGCTTCTGGAAAAGAAGCTGCATTCAATACAACTCTGCATTATGGCTGCTTAAAAAAAGAGAGAAAGAGTATGACTTTCAGCAGAAATGCTAAACATTGTATAGCTTATTTTCTCCTAATGTTTAGAGTTTTTAGCTTCTGTCAGCCATGGACAATTCTGGTTCTGCAAATGTTTATAATGTTTGTAAAACTAAGAGTTAAAAGATATGTATTCCATAAGAAACTAACAGAGGCTGAGGTATACAGACAGCGATGCTAATCAAGCTACTAGTTCTATACCCTAAAAAAACAAAAAAAAGCTAAAGACTCTGTGGTTCATTTTTGTCTCTTCCTCTAATTTGTAATTTTTATATGTGTAATTCTAGGCTAGAAAAAAAATGCTGCTAGTTATGGTTCTTAAATACAAGCTAGTTGTAATTTGTGTAAGTAGGTCAAAACATAAAAACTATAAACTGGGAATAGATCACATTACCTTTCAAATATAATGGCCCAAGTCATTTTGTGACCAAAAAAAAAAAAAAAAAAGTGGCAAAATATGACTTGGGCCTTTTTTTTTTAAGAAGGCGACGATAAAACATACATGCAGTTCAAAGAGCTGTAGAACATAATAAGCCAGTAATACTCTATTCTCTAACGTTTTAGATCCTGAACTGGACCTCATTGTTATCTAGTCTTCAGCATAAGCAATAAAAATAAATGAAATCTGCTTTATTACAGAATGAGAGCATTAGCGGTCAGGGGTTTGGTCCATAACCAATCTTTTTTTTTTTTTTTTTAAATTTGCCCACCTAGCAACATTAAAAGGTCAAGTTAAACACTGGCAAAGGCACTAAAAGTGAAGCCCTGTGTTTCAGACAACAGAAGAGTACTCCTGCCGTTTGGCTGGTTTAACATGAGACTTATGAGGTCGCCATTAAATTATCAAAAGAAACTTGAAATCTCTAGATGTCTGAGATCATGTCTGAGCAGGATTTTAGGAGTTATAATCTACCTCTGAAGACATTAAAACGTCACAGATGTGCAGTGAAACTACGCATCACCAGTGACGACTTGACTCTGTGTCTGTGTTTGAGGGTAAAAGTGGATGGAGGTTGTTAAGGTGATTTTCAGTCATGCAACATAAAGCAAGCTGTGCAGTGGAGTTTCTTTCAGTGGTTGGCTCTGGAGGGATGTGTGAGGTTGCGCAGCGAAGGAAACCCAGCTGTTTATATTTCAGCATGCGCAGACGAACAAAATGGGGCTCTTATTGATGGTGGTGTGTATGTTCTGTGCATGCTTCCTGCTTCTTTTTATAAGGTTTTCTATCAAAGATGGCTGATGATCTTTCTGGGCTTCAAAGGCTCACACTTTGGTCCCCTTGATGTTTCCTCGTCTTCCCTTTGATGAGCTTTAAGAGAGGGAGGCTGTGGCTCTCCATAATAAGCCGTCCTATCTAAGAGTGCGCTGCCCAAGTTGCGTCTTTAACTGCTTGGGAAGCCAAAGATTAACGACCTTTTGGCATAACTCAAAGAGAGGGTGTGCTAGCATGCAGTAAATGGAGGAGACAGATGGGGTTGAGGAATGAGCGCGTTGGAGCACACGCGCACACACCACTCTCCCATTCAGAGGGGGAACAAGTAAAGCCTCGGCTGCCGTTTGCACTGCCTCGCCTGGTGAGTCACGTTCTTCATGTGCAGAGCTTCATTCAGATGGAAATTAAGTTTGCCTCGTTTTTCCCCTCAAAGCAGTTGTCAAGGTCAGGGGCGAATAACTCAATTAGCCTAGCCTGGCTAGCTTGTCTCACACAGCGGTCCAGATGTTGCAGAATGGAAAGGGGAATCAAGAAATCCCTTCGAATGGGTTCGGACCACTTGTTTGGTCTATATGTGATCAGATGGCGCTACCAGTTCAGTTTAGTGGAGGAAAAATGGTGGGTCTGTATACGGCGCCTTGCAAAAGTATTCGCACCCTATTACACTCATTTTGTGACATTGCGACAACTACTATTTGTGATGTATTGTATCTGGATTTTATGTGACAGACCAACGGAACATAGTAAAACAAAAATGATGAATGGATATTAAAATTTCAGAAAAAAAAATCATCTGGAAAGTGTTGTGTACATTTGTATTCAGTCCATTTAAGGTGATACTCCTGAATAAAACCCACTGCAGCCAATTGTATGGAAGTAAATGGGGAGCAATGATGTTTGCCAAAATATATTTTTTTAAAGTAAACTAAAATAAAAAGCCGATTCAAAACAAAAACCCTGAAACTAAAGAAAAATAAAATCGGAAACTGAAAAAAAAAAACTTTGAATCTGAAAAGAAAACTCAAACTTCTATTTTTCAATACAAATTTTTTTTTCCACTTTGAATTTTTTTTTTCAACTTGAATTTTGTTTTTCAGTTTTAATTTTTAACTAATTTTATGGCACCACTGTAGCTCCGTACAATGGCTTTCAGACATCACCTTCTTTGACCGCAGTCCATCTGTTTGTGCTTTAATTTTAGAATAAATGCAGCAGCTGTTCAGTTAAAACTGACAAGACAGACTTTATACTTTATTGAAACTGATTAAATGACACTGTAGCTCCTACTGCACACATTTCTTCAAAGAGTTGTGGATGCTGATGGCTGTGGGTGGGAAATGTCCTTTACTTTTTCAGCTTGCTGAGCTTTTATTAGTCACTGGATCTGACGCCGTTGGTCTAAGAATGCACAGACTGCAGTTTTCTATCGGATCACCAATGTTTTATAAACCTGAACAGGTTATCAGACGTAATAAAAACAACTAAAACCAGTAAAATATACTTTGAAAACAATGTATAGTTTTTGCATCGTGATCTTGCGCTCCTTTGAGTTGGTCCATCACATAAAATCCCAGTGAAATGTATTGACGTTTGTGACTGAAGCAAAATCCAGTGACGTGTGAATACTGTCCCAAGGCACTGCATATGTACACGATGATAAGTGCATTTAGGTCATGCATAATCAATGAAATGGGATATGAACACATGCAAATCAACAGAGATCAATATGGAAGGCAAAGTGTTAATGATTTCAAAGACATTTATCCTTTCTCATCCCACTTTTGCCCTCCCAGTCCAGCCTGGCCGATAAATCCGGACAAAAAAAACAAACAAACAAAAAAAAAAAACAAATCACATTTCCATATGAAACCAAACTTGTGGGGTTTACGTACCTAAAAGAATAAATGCAGTTTTAAATAAAATACAAAAAGAGAGGGAGAGAAAGAGGGGGGTGCAAAAAACATTTGTTTGACAAAATTAATAATCATCTAAACAAAAAAAATTACACACAGCCATATACGGGCGCATCACATGACCCAGAGTGAGTTACAAACTAAATCAACCAAAAAAAAGGAAAAAAGAACAAAAAAATTATTCTTAGCCAATCAGCAAGCTTCGGATGCAGAATAGAGACCAATCAAAACAATCGGAGCACTCCCACGTCAAACACATAAGAGACAAAGATGAGACGGGAACGTTAGGGGTGAGGGATGCAGGTGAGAGGTAAAGAGACAGAGCCAGTCCGTATTCAGAAACAGGGAAACATAAAGATAAAAAAAAGAGGGAAAATAAGTTTACACAAGCAACACAAGAAAAAAAATTAAAATCAATAAATCACTGTTGAAAACGTATATATACCAAAGTGCATCATTCAAATAAAGCAATTACATTTGGTGACCATTCTCCTGAAAAAATCTCATCGTATGTGGTGGGTTGAGAAACAGAGCACCAAAGGATGGAGGGAAGAGAGAGACAGCGAGATACAGAGGGAGAGATAAAGGTAGCAGAGCTAGAAAGAAAGAGAGACAAAGATAAAGAGAGAGAGAGCAATTCTCATTCCCAAAAAAGGAGGAAAGTAAAAAAAACAAACAAACATGACACACTTTGCCAAGCATTAAAATTTTGTGTCACAAACTTAGGACCAGTACACTGTAACTACTACTACGACTACTAATACACAGACAATCCACTACAAGAAAACCAAACCAAAAAGAAAAGAAAATGGCAGCATAAGAAAGACCCAAAACAGCAAAGGTAAACCCCATATCGGTTTAGAGATGCATATGGTTAGAAAAAAAAGCAAAAACAAAACAATTTGCTTGATCGGGTGAGTGACCAGAAGTCAGTTGCACCAGCTCTTCATCCTCTGAATATTTTTTCAGGTTTAATAATCTGAGTTGCTTTAAATTAGTCCATTTTGGATCAAACCAAAAGGGAAGGTGTAACAACAAGAGAACCCAAGTAAAACCTGCTTTGTGACACGCTGTAAAGCTGTTGTCAGAATGTGAGCTAATCTAGCAAAGTTGTTGTAAGCTAACATAATGAGCCCTACGTTATAAGAACACCAAGCTACAAAAGTGCTAAAAATGCTGTGACCACTTTAAAATATTTGTGTGAAAGCATTTTCAGTAGCAGGTGCAAAAAAGAAACT